CCCGCGGCTCGCCAGGGTCCCGCCCCGCGCCCCCCTCAACTGCCCTCCTCATCATCATCCCCCGCGATGCCCTTGCTCAGCAGGAGCCCCGCGGACGTGGGCGGAGGGGCCGCGTGGGCCCTCGCCCCCAGCCAAGGTACGGCAAAGGGGGCTGCGGGGGACGACGGGCCTGCTTGTCGAAGAGCGAGGAGCCACAGCGGGTGCTCGCTGCGGGTGTCGTTGTGGCGAGACCACTCTGGCCGCAGGTGGTCGGAGCCTCGCGCGCCGTCGAGCGGAGGGAAGGGATGTCTCAGCCTCTCGGTCAGGATTACTCCGGCAAAGGGTGGAGGCGTCGCTTTGCCCATCTGCGCACAGCCCGTCGAGTTTCCCACAGCCTTCTGGGGGCCGCAGCTGAGGTCCCGAAGAGTGGCGACCTGGCCAGCTGGAGCTTTGTTCTTGCCTGACCACACCGTCCAGGTTTTAACCCGGGCTGGCTTTTGACAAGTGGTTTGGCTGATTCTATTTTCGTAGGGCATTTTATGCACGAGAGTCCTTTGTTAAGGGTTGGTTTGTGTTCCAAAACTCCGAAATACAATTTGGAAAAATACCTGCATTCCTTGGATGGTTTTAGGTTTGCCACAGTTTGAATAAACTGTTTTTCTGACATGATTAAGTTAAATGGGATGTTTTCTTGGCATGCAGATGAGAGGTAGAAAAAGCTTCCTTTCTGTTGTTGGCAATTCTAGCTGAAATAAGGCATAAACCTGTATTCTGAGGAGCTTCGAGCAGTCTGGTGCCGACTCCGTTGTGAATCGGTACCATCACAGTCCCCAGCTTCCTTCTGCTGAAAGGCCAGATTTCAAGCTCCCTCTTGGAGGATCTAGACTTGCAATATAAAAACTCCGAGTCTGTATCCATGTAGGCAGTGAGGAGGCAGCCAGCTGTGGCCTGGACAACAGCCTGACCAACATCCAGTGGCTGGGGAAGATGACCTCAAATGGACTGAGCTCGTGTGGCATGAAAAAAGACACAGAGAAGGAGAACCAGACCCCCAAGCAGAAAGCGAGTAAGGTAAGCGAGGGGCCCAAGAGGCCAGGTGGTGGCCTTACGTGTTTAAATGTGGGGCTTCTGCAAGACGGAGGCCTCGCGGGGCACACGTGCACGTGACTCCAGATCTCTGGGGTGGCGGGCCAATGGCACGAGAAGAACAGCAGCGGCCACTTCCTAGGAGACACCCAGAAAAGCTGCGGGCAGCAGTTCTCTATGCACGATGATGTTTCCTGCAAGCAGGGCTGAAGACTTGCAGGTGTCGGAACTATAATTGCTATGCCGGCCTTAGTTTGCCCCCCCCCCCCCCCCCCCCCCC